ATGAGGCAAGTAAGTTAATGTGAATTGTGACCGTTTAAGGAAATCGAATGTAAGGAATAAAATTAGAATAAAATGCTGTGAAACAAAAAGGGTGCGAACAATTTTTTTAGAGTGAACAGGCTGGAGAACCTCCCTGCCCCTCACGCAAAAAAAAAAAAAAAAAAAAAAAAAAACTCAAAAAGAAGATTTAAAAGAAAGACAAAAAAAAAGACAATTTAAATATATGAAAAGAAAGCAAAAATTGAATTGTTATTGACCAGAAATTTTATAGCTAAACATCAAAGAGACAGAAAGATGTTTTTCCTCCATTTTTTTTTTTTTTTTTTTTTAATTCATCCACCCCATTGATCCGGTAACAGCTCAGTGGAGAGTAAGGAGCGGTAATGGTAGTGACTAGAAAGTATATTGTTTTGGGTGGAGCCCAGAATAAAAAAAAAATCGAAGAGAAAAAACAAATCTATCGTGGAGTGTGCCAGGAGAAAGGTGTGTTTAGTTATTGAAAAGGGGTTTCTGAAATAAGAAATAAAGCAGGTGACATATGTAGAGTCTCACACCTCCTTCCCCACCCATTTCTTATACTCTTAGCCCGCCTCGTTTTCTTTCTTTCTTTTTCGGTTCTTTTTTTTTGTGTTAAATTTCCATTTCATTTTCCCCATTTTTAACGTTTTCATTTTTTCATTTGAATTTCGACTATTTCCTCTTCTTTTTACTTTTCGTTTTCTTTGTTTGTTTCTTTCGTTGTTTATTTGTATCTTTCTATCTCTATATCCCCCTCTCTCGCTTTTTTAACCCTTTTCATTTTTTAAATTTCTATTTTATTTTCCCCATTTTTAGCGCTTTAATTTTTTCATTTGAATTTCTACTATTTCCTCTTCTTTTTCCTTTTTCCTTTTCTTTCTTTATTCGTCGTCACCGTGTTTTTTTTCCGTATTTATTTTCGTTTTTATTTTGTTTTATTTCTGCAGTTTTTGTTTTCATTTGAATTTCGTCCATTTTTACTCCTTATTTATCTTTTTGTTTTCTCTGTTTTTTGTTGTTTTTTTAATTTCCTTTAAACATCGTATATTTTGTTTATCTTGCTATATCGACGATATCACGCTAAAACGCCTGTTCCCGTACAATCACCGAAGTTAAGCAACATCGAACCTTGTCAGTACCAACATGGGTACTTGAGAATACCAGGTGTTGCAAGTTTGAATGTATGGGTGATGTAATGGGTCACGGGTCGGAATTGCAAATCGCAGAGCCGAGTTCTAATTCCAGTCGGGTTCGTTATATTCAGGTACGCGTAAATACACTTGGGAAAGGTATGAATTCACCTTTTCTCTCCCCAGCTATTGATTAATTAGTAAAACTTGTATTAGTAAAATTCATTATTATTTTCATAAAAATACTTACAATCTAAAAATATTTTCTGGCTTTAAATATCCCACAAAAGGTTGATAAATCGTAAAAAATTAATCAATAAACACATTCTTTATTGTACCTATTTTTTCACCACTTGTTTTTTTCTTCTTTCGAAGGCCACACTTTTTTTTATCGATTTTCCATTTTAATCTATTCTTTCTTTCTTTCTTTCTTAATATTTCCCTGTTCTTTCTTTTTCTTTCTTTCTTTCTTTCTTTCTTAACAACTTTTTGCTCTTTATCTACTTTTTCTATATTTTGTCTCCTTTTTCATCTATTTTCTTTCTTTTTCAGATTTTTTTCTTCTTTACTAGTTATGTGCCATGCGTGATACACGCTTAGGCGATCATGTATCTTTTGATACATGACTGACGAGGTAGATTTTTTCTCTCAGTAGGTTGCCATTTCTTTCTGCAGTAGACCAGTTGCCATCCAGTCTGTCCTGCTATTTACCCATAGCTGGGTGAGGGGAGAAGAAGAGGATTCATACCTTTTCCAAGGGTATTAGTAATGGATTCGACTGGAATTCGAACTCGGCTCTCTAATTCCTCAATCCGAGCCGCTATTCATTAATCCGCTCTAAAACTTCTTTTTTCAATTTCTTTCTTTCTTTATCTTTCATATTTATTAATCCCGTCTTTTTTCATTTTCTTTCTCTCACCCTCCTGTTTTCTTTTTCATCTTTCTTTTTTTCTTCCGATTTAATTTCTTTTTCCTCTTTTTCTTTCTTTCTTTTTAACTTTTTCCTTCCATTTCACCTACTTTTCTAACTTTTATTCTTCATCTTTCCTTCTTTCTTTCTTTCTAACTTTTATTCTTCACCTTTCTTTCTTTCTTTCTTTCTTTCTAACTTTTATTCTTCACCCTTCTTTCTTTCTTTCTTTTTCATAAAGCAATCTTTTAATTTGTTTTGCTTTTAAATTTGTTTACTTTTAATTTTGTCACAGGTGGACACTTAAAGTTGTTGATATCATTGTCCACAAAGGATTCCTTACACTGCGAATTTTCTTCTGTTTTTGTTTGCCTTTGGTGGAGTTTAATCAATTTGTGCCCAAATTTCAAAGAAAATATAGAAAGGAAAAAAAAACTCAATAGAAAATTTTATTATAAACATAGGGTGTTTGATTAAAACGGATCAAAGTCAGAAGTAAATAAATCAATTTTATTGGTGAAAATCTATTTGTTTCTCTATTTATGTCATGGCACTCGATGGTCAATATTTTTGATAACGTTTCTCCTCGATTTCACCAGTGTGCCTTATTATCTCATCCTTCAGCTGTTGAATGTTTGTTGGCTTGTTGGCATAGACCTTACTTTTGAGATGACCCCAAAGGAAGACATCTAAAGGCGTCAAGTCGCATGATCGTGGTGGCCAATTGACTTCTGTTTCGAGAGATAATGCGACCCGGGATCTTCTCATTGCATTTCTGTTTGAACGTCCATTTTCATAATAGGTTCGATAACTTTAACATGTTGTTTGATTGTTAATCTTTCCATTGTTAAAATTGGCAAAGAGTTAAGATGTTAAATCTGAAAGAAAAAGAAAAAAAAAATCATTAGACGCTTAAACTTAATTCACATTCAAAATCGATTCAGGTTATTGGAACGCCCTTTATAATGGCGGAAAATAGAGACAGATACGAATTGTCTGGAAGGCAGATAAATCAAATTCCAATCTTTAAACATACTTTTTAAAGTACAATAAGTATGATATGGTGCAATGGAGAACAGCTCGGCATGACAAATCGGAGAGCCGAGTTCGAATTCCAGTAGAGTTCGTTAAATTTAGTTACGCGCAAATTACGCGAAAACGTATAAATCCATTTTTTCTCCCCATTCTAACTATGGGTCAAATAGCATGTCAGACTGACTCATATAGCCTTGGTTGGCAACCAGTCTACCACAGAAAAAGGCAACAACCTACCGTGGAAATGAAAATGAATTGCAAGGGATATGATTGCTCAAGCGATTATCATGTGTGACATTTAACTGATGTAGCACGTGTGACACTTAACTGATGTATCCTGTGTGACATTTAATTGGTGTATCACGTGTGATATTTAACTGATGTATCAGGTGTGACACTTAACTGATATGGTATTAGGAAATTTTAGACTTTTGGAAGAAAGATCACAGGAAAAATGTTATAAGGTTTCCTTTGTTAGGCCGCGTAACAATAAAGTAAATAAATATATATTTTAATTTAATTCGTAGTAATAAAATACGTATGTAATATTTTTGTTTATTTTTTCTTATGCGCTGTGGTCTTTCTAGACGCGGCTGATCATTTCTCTCCACAATTTCCTGCCTTTTGTAATGTTTGTCTTTTTCCTATCTCTCCTAATCCCTGTTCTTCCAACCATTTACACAAGCTCATTATCTAGGTTATGTGCTGTTTTCCTCTTGCTTTCAATACGTCCTGTGAGTGTCAAATTTTCTAAGCCCTCTTTCTTTGTCATGTACTCTAATAATTTTAATACTCTCTTTCGGATGCTAAGTATCCTTTGTATATCCAATATATCCAAGACTTCATCGTTGCTCACATGTTCCGTCCATGGCTTTCCCAGTACCCTCCTCGAGTTTTTTCTTAATACATTACTTATCTTTCGGAATTCAGTACCTTTTGGAATTCACCTTTCACCATTCCAAATGCGACTTCCGGTTTCGGTTCCACATTTTCGGTTAAACCCTGTTCTGCCATTCATTTCTTTGTCACTCTTGCTTTTCAATATGTCCTGTCAAATTTTCCATCTTCTTTTTTCTTATTTAGTATCCTAGAAATTTCAATTGTCTCTTTCTGAAGCTAACATTATTTACATTATTCGGACTGTTATCCTCATCTTCATTGCCATATTCACAACATTTCGGCCTTCTTCTAGTGATTGAAATTTCGAATTTCGTCCACCGGAGTAGATTATTCTAGTTCCACGTGCTATGCCTTTAACTCAGCCTGGTATTGATCTCATAACTCTCTGGGTCTAGTCACTGGATCTAACCAACGCCTTTATCCACTAGACCACGTGCTCTTGAAAACTTTTTGGGACATAATGTCTGAGTAACTATTTTTTTTACCAGTGTTCATATTGCAATTTTTTGTTGTTATTCATTACTTCTCTGTTGAACTCCCTATTACTGGTTCCCATATTGTATTCATTTCCATGCTTTGTCGGCTCAGGAGATTTTTTGTGGCCTAACATATGTGCTGATTCTTTAAGTTTTCGTATTTTCCAGTGATGTTCTCTGTAAGTAATCATAATACCTCATCTCAGAGACACAGACAGATAAGTGTCCATCTTATTTTTATTTTCTCTAAAACTTCGGTGTTGCTCACAGGTGCAGTCCATGGTATCCTCAGCATCCTTCTGTAGAACTACATTTTCTGATGATCTAAGTGTGATGAGATTGTTCAACATTCACTGCTAGGTATGAAAACCGATATTGTATAACAGTTCAGTACTCTTTTCTTTGTTGCTAACGAAATTTTCATGTTTCTTAATACTCTGATTAGCTTTTGGAAGGCACCTTTCGCTATCTTGATGCGATCAGATTTCAATGTCACATTTTCCCTTTTTCTGCTGAAACATTTCCTAAATATTTATATTTTTTGTATTTGGTCGAAATGGCGTCTCCAATTTGTAATTCTCATCTTTAGATGCCCCTTTTGCTGACAACCATAATTTCTGTCTTCTGACAATTGATGTTCACTCCTTGCTTCTCACTTCCCTTTACTAACTGCTGTAGAAGTTCATGGAGTATATATATTAATAAAATAATTTTCAATTTTAAATCAAGATGCATTAAGCCGTTATTTTATTAAATTATTTCCTATTTTAAAAGAAAAAATATGACATTTCCACAAGCTGAAGTTATCAACTTATTTTATTAATATATATTAAATATATTGAAATAGTACTTACTTTATGAAAAATATTCAGTCAGTTATGTGCCATGTCTGTTTGTTACATGCTTAGGCGATACATGACTGACGAAGGAGATTTTTTTCCGCAGTAGGTTGCCATTTCTTTCTGCGTATTCCAGTTACTATCCAAGGCTATAGAACACGGCTTTGTTCTGCTACTTACCTATAGCTTTGAACAAGAGGATTCATACCTTTCCCAAGTGTATTAGCACGTAAGTGAATGTAATGGATATGACTGGATTCGAACTCTTCTTTTCGTTTCCTCAATCCAATCCGTGTCTTTAAATGCAAAAATTACATATTTTCTTCATGACGTCTTCCTACCCACCAGCTGAAGCTACCTTACACGCAAGCCACTCGGTGGCATGTCACTAGCATTTACCGCTGGTGGCCCGCTGTCGGACCGCCGGCGTGTTTGACTCCACTTATGGACCGCTAGTGGCCCACCGTTGGCTTGCCGGTGGCTGCTACCAGAGGACCACTGGCGTTGCCATCGGTGGCCCGCCAGCGAGCAACTAGGAGCTTGCGTGTAGTGTATATGTATTCTTAATTCCTATTACATTTTCTCTACGATACCTTCAAAGTCATGTGAAAAATATAATGGAAGAACTAATTTATTTTCTAGTAAAGACTAACCTTAGTGCTATAATATTCCAAGTAGTTATTGCATTTGTATGCAGTTAGTATTGTTTCAACAGACCAAGTACCATTCTAACATCTATGTGAAGTATTGTATATCAGGATATGTTTATTTTACATTTTTTTTAGAAGATCAACAATCCGAAAGCTGGGGTTTGATGTATAAAATAGTGACACCGAAATTTAGATTCATAACTTTTACCAGTTTTCGAGAATGTAATTTTAAAGATCGTCTGAAAAAAAAAATACAGATATACCTAATTTGCGCTGGTTTTTGCTGACAAACTGACTTCAAATTTTTACAATTTCTAGAATAAATTCAGATTAAGTTAATGTCATTTGTATTGGATTCGCTGAATGGAAAATATATTCACACCAGAATCCTAATTATGAATCATCACAAGCAAATTATGTTTTTTTTACAGTATTCGATAAGTAAAAACTGTGTAAAAAGTGTAAAAGATTACAAAAATGGCTACTCAATAAATAAGATTTGTTAGATCATAATTAAAATAAACAAAAAAGTAGATAAAAGTGCACTGCAGTGTACTAATACTGCAGGGCACAAATTATAAGTCAAAATGTTTTAAACTTACATTGTTTATTGAAGATCACACTAAAGCTACAGCACTGTATAATATACTGAATCATAATTAAGTTAAATTGTTCAGTCCGACTTCCCTTTGATGTAAATGAGGGTTTTGTTTGATAGCACAATGATTTAGTAATAATATACGTGTGCCATACATCCTGTCCATATACAATTTGTAAAGCTTCAATAAATTATAAATTTTATAAGGCTGTGCTATAAGGCTTTTACTGATCAACGGAATGAAATTCCAACGCTACAATTTTGAACCTAAATTTAAACTCATTTCTCCCCCCCCCTATAAAAAACAGTAACGATTTGGGAAAAAATATTCTTTGTTATTATTTATCATGTCAAACCCCAACTTTCAAATTGAGTGCAATACCACGGTTCCCAAATCGACCTGCCCTATTGTAAATAATTTTGTATCAATCTTAGTTGAATTAATTCCTTATTGAATTTTTCAATCAACTCCTTCAGTTGTATAAATGTCTTACATGCCTCTAACGACATTTGGTTTAATTGCAGCCTTTCTTTCACTTCTGATGGGAAAAAAAATCTTTCTAACAGCTTAGTAGTTTTTTTTTGTTTGTTCTAGCAAGGGCAGTGAAACACATTATCCAGGTTTAGACAAAGTCTTCAAACTGCAAGAAAGATCATATTGACGACGCCATATTGTTACGATATTCCAAGTAGGGATTGCACTTGTATGCAGTCAGTATTGGTAATTACAGTCCAAGTACCATTCTAACATTTTAAATCTATTCGAAACATTTTACAATTAGTTTTAATCAAAAAAGAAAATTGCTGATTTTTTTTATAAATTAGAAACTAACTTATTTTCTTTGTAGAAAATGAATTAAGAGAATAATAAAACAGGAATACGGTATCAAAAACACCTACTTACTAAATATAACGTTTATAGTCATAAGGGTCCCTATACTCAAGCCACTAATTTGCCACTTGGTAGCATGCCACTAGCGTTTGCCGCTGGTATCCCGTTATCGGGCCATCGGCGTGTTCGTCTCGGCAATGTTACCACTGGCGGACCACTGGAGCCTCTCCCCCACCGGTGTCACGCCGGTGGATACCCTAGAGGACCGCTGGTGTTGCCGCCAGCGGGCCACTAGCGTGTAGGGGTCATGCGAAATTGTCGAGTTAAAAAAAAAAAAAAAAAATCAGTGATGAAAAATAAAGTTAGGTTAGAAAAAATCCAGTTTTCAGGTATGAAAATAAAGATATACATACGAGATGTCCCCACGAGACATATACACTCCAAAATGGGTAAATGTGCCTTGTTTTTGTTTTTTGTTTTTTTTTGTTTTGTTTTGTTTTTTGTTTTTGCGATGATTTCCCGTTGACTTATTTGGTAAGGGCACACTTCGTCTGGTGACAGGATGAAAACCAAGGGGACAAAATCCTAACCTCTTATCTCAAAAGGGAACAAAATCCCAGCCTCTTGTATAAACGTCACATTTATATAAAAATAAACAAATTGTAACAATGATAATACTGCCCAATATATAAACTTATATGTACAATATCCCCTAAACTGGGATCACGTCTGCAGTGGCTCTCTCACAGACGCGCCGTCGCCTCTCTCTGTCTTTTTTACAAATACTTTCATGGTTATTACTCCGATGAGCTGCTTTCGCTGGTTCCCAGACTTCACGAATTCAAGCGTCCTACGAGGCTGGCATCCCGCTCTCACCCTTTCACTGTTGAAACTGTTAAATGTAGCGAGAGGTGCAAGATATGAAGCTATTGGAGTAGAAGAGGCTTCTACTCTAATAGCTTCATATCTCGCACCTCTCGCCTGTGGAACTCCCTTCCCTATTCCTGTTTCCCTGATAGCCATAATCTCCAACTATTCAAATCTAATGTCAATCGACATCTCCAGTTGCCTTGATCTATCCACTATCCTTTCCTCTATCATTCCTATCTGCTCTCGCTCTAAATCCTCTATAACCCCTTGCGTGCTAATGGCTTCCCGCCTTGCTAGGGGTGAAATGCTTAAAAAAATATCCAATATATACACTTCAATGTCAAACTGAGACAATAAACACAATACAAATATATACAGTTATTTATTGCTCACCAATTTATGCTCTATTTATTTATACATATATATTTTATATTATAATTTAAAAAAAAATAAAATTGATGATTTAAATTTTTAAAGAATTTTCTTTATAAGTAATATAAACATTAAGCTCAACAAAAGTGAATTTCTCGAAATTTCATACAAGTAAATAAATGTGGGTGGTAGCAGATGTACAAAATATTTTTACCAAGATTTTCTAAAAAAGAAACGTTTCAAAAATAATTTAATTCATTTGTAAATAAGTTCTGAAAGCTTTCATTAGAATCCGAAAATCATTTGATTTATGCAAGAATTATTAATCCATGTGTTTTTCACTGCAAAATGACGCTGGAAATTTATGGTCACTCTTTGCCGCCAAAAAAAAACAAACAAAAAAAAAACACATTTTTAACCAAAATTTCGAACGTTCTAAAAAGATTTCAAATTGTAATTTAATAATATAACAATTATTTTGTCTCTCTTCATAATAATAACATATTTTGATGATAAAACTATTATTTTCATCATGTGCGTCCATTTTTTAAAGTGTTTTCGGGAATGTTAAGAAAAGTAATAACAAAGTGGGAAAATTCGAGTCATGTGTTATGTCCTTTTGAACTTCATCGGATTAAAGTGAGTTTTACGCTGAGGAGACGCAAAAATTTTAAACTTTTCAAATTTTTTTTTAATACGTGTTTCAGTATATAGTCTAGACAATTTCATTTAGTTTCTTTTGCTTTTTTTTAAAAATATTTTTATCACTTTTGTTATCAAGTATCCCATATTTTGGTATATACCAATTTTCTTTTTTTCTGTTCTTTCCTCCTTGCTTCCTTCTTTCTTTCTTTCTTTCTTTCCTCCTTCCGTCCTTCTTTCCTCCTTCCTTCTTTCTTTCTTTCCTCCTTCCCTCCTTCCTTTCTTTCTTTCTTTCTTTCCGCCTTCCATCCTTCTTTCTTTCTTTCTTTCCCCCTTCCTTTCTTTGCTCCTTCCTTCCTTCTTTCTTTCTTTACTCCTTCCTTCCTTCCTTCTTTTTTCCCTTCTTTCTTTCTTTCCTCCTTCCTTCCTTCTTTCTTTCTTTCCTCCTTCCTTCCTTCTTTCTTTCTTTCTTTCCTCCTTCCTTCCTTTCTTTACTCCTTCCTTCCTTCCTTTACTCCTTCCTTCCTTCCTTTCTTTACTCCTTCCTTCCTTCCTTCCTTTACTCCTTCCTTCCTTCCTTTCTTTCTTTCTTTCTTTCTTTCTTTCCTCCTTCCTTTCTTTACTCCTTCCTTCCTTCCTTCCTGTATGTATGTATGTTATGGGCTCATGGTTAGAACATTCGCTTTTTGACCATGACACCCGGGTTCGAATCTCGCCATGCTCGATTTGTCAGGAAGGAGACTTCTTAATGTTATCGGACTGGATCGAGGTCAATCCCAGAGAGTGCAGCACCTTTGGAAAGTGCCTGAAAACCATACCACGGATTGACCCAAGCCTTGTGTGTGAAATTGGGTAGACAGAACTCTTGGGGGGGCCGTCGATAGCTGTATTAGATCGAAGCCACAAGTTATCGTGGCCTTCTTCAAATTGTTGATGACACTAGATAACACGCTCTCTCCCAGAAACTGCAACTGGGATTGGCTAGCCGAGTAGACGGGTATCTTCGAATACGAGTGGCCAACTCTTATATATATATGTGGGCGCATGACGTCCGATTTCTGGCCATGATCGATTTATCAGGTAGGTGACTTCTTGATTATATCAGCCTGGGGAGACGATCCCAGAGCGCGTCATCTTTGCCACGGGTATGAAATTGAAATTGGAAGCCGTCGACGATTGTGCTAGTATGAAGTCACCAGTCATTGTGACCGAGGGTTTAAACGTGCTCTCTCCGCTCAGAAACCGCAAGTGGACTCTATGGATTGATTGGCATATGTAATAGGGTTTTGTTAGCCACCTCGGCAGACGGGGATGCTCAGAAACGAGTAGCCGGCTGTTAGGTATGTATGTATCATTTTTCTATTTCGATCAATTAAGTCAGTGAATACAAGCAAATACAATCCTTGTAAATACTTTTTGGCATAGGTCATCACATATTTCACTTATCGTAAGTGTTTGCACGCAATAAGAGTATATATTGTTTTAAACTGAAAAGATCTGATGTCTATCATTTGTTGGCGGGCAAGTTGGGAGTGTTCCAAACTATTTCAAGAGACTGCATTATATATGAAGTGTGGCTGTGGGGGGGGATGCTGCCTTCTTTATCTTATTTTATTTAATATTTTACCACTATTGTTTTTAAATATACTACATTGTATCAAAAGTAAGTTAGGTGATATTGTTATTAAGTAAATACTATATTTTCGAATCATAAATGGAAAAGGTTACTACAATTCAGCAACCTCAAGTATTTTAAAAAGAATTTAGAAATTTTTCTTAAATTTATAAACGTACCGATTTTTGTAAATACGGATGTCCTGACACGAAATTATCAGAAAATAAGAGCGATAACTACAGGTAATTTAAATAAAATTACTTAAATATTTAATAAAAAATTAGATTACGGAGAAAAATTTCCTAAATTCTTAAGATTACTGAATAGTTAAAAACGATGTAAAAAAGCGCTCACGTTATATTCTTCAAGTGAATTTTACAGATATGTTCACTTTAGAAAATATTAGATAAACTTCCCGCTATTACTCAAGCTGTCAATAACAAAAGTAAACAGCTACGGCGGTTTAAAAAAATGCATATCTGCGACATCTTAAACTAAATGTAAGTATATGTTTTTCAAATAAGATTAATTAAACTTTTAAATCGGCTAATATTCCTAAAATAAAATTTTAGAAAGCATATTTTATTTTTGAATGAAATATAATAAAGCGAATTAAATTGCGATGAAAGATGTCTAAAAAATGGCGCTAAAATCAGCGATGGCTAGCATTTTCAAAACAGAAACTAGTTCCAGTAAATTTAAATTATTTTTGAAATACAGCAAAATATTTTGCTTATTGGAAATATGAAATTTAATCTATTAGCCTGAAATTAAAACTAAAATAAAAGCTCCAAGAAAGGTTTTTCATTTAAAAAAAAATCATTTTAAACCATAGGTATCGCGAATCAGTGGAGGCATGTAAACTCATATATCTGTAGACTAATAATAAAAGTATTTTTCACATCAAATATTTACGTTCAGCATGTTAATTTTCAATGCATGTAATTCACCGCTATTTTATTAATGACATCAAACATTATGAAAATTTCAGATCAAAATTGAGTCTTTAATTGTATTAGGACACATACTTATTGATCTTGCCTCATATACAAAAAAATAAAAAAATAAACATTCGCACTGATACCTCCTTACTGGAATGAGGATAAAACAAGACCCATCCGGAGTGCAAATGTGTATATTTATATACAGTGTAACCCGGATATAAGAGAAACCCTGATATAAGAGAGATTTTCTCTGGTCCCAAATTAGAGCCTGTGTTAATGTATATAAAATAGACCAAACTCGGATATAAAAGAAACCCGGATAAAAGAGACTTCTTCTCCGGTCCCGACAACTCTCTTACACCGGGTTACATATCTGATTCAGATTACTACAAATGTGTATATCCGCACACACGCCCTAACTCGTATCCACACAACTTACAGATTCGGGGGTGGGGCGGAATGGATAGTGCTCTACGAGAGAGAAAGTATATATATATATATATATATATATATGAGTAAGTGAGAAAGATGTGGTTTTTTTAGTCACTGTTACGGGAGAATTTACGTTGCTCGTCATTGGTGTTTATCGGGCTGGGTCGGGTAGAGAGAGACAGACAGTGTGTGAGAAAGAGAGTGAGAGAGTAACCTCCTCTCTCTCGCCTGACCGTCGCCTCAATAACTGGGTTACCCAAATCGGTCAGCTGTAACACGACCAGATATTTTTGCCTCCACCCGCAATGTGACCCACTCCGTGGTTCCGTCTAACTCCATCACCTCTTCCGTCTCTACTCTCTCTCTTTCTCTCCTTCCTTTTTCTTTTCTCTTTCTTCGCTCACCTCCCCCCCCCCACGAACTCGCAGTATTTCAACCTTTACGTACACGCAGTATCACTGCGGAGAGTTCGTTGAACGTACGCGGTATATTAATCTTCATCCACCGGATCACTTTAGGTTATAGCTGAAGGGGTTTTGAGATAGACATGAGAGGAGTGAGGTCTCAATGAAGATCGATCTATCTACAAAGCTGAGCTCCAAAAGGAGTCTTTTACGTAAACGAAGACTGTATTACGCCAAGTTGGGAAAAAAGACTTCTTTCCTTTGAAAATCTGCACTGGAATTCCTGGCATTAAAATACTCTGCCACGAAAGATACATTTAAAGCAGAAAGATAGATAGATAGATATAGTTTCCTAAAAAATTCGATAAAAAGGAGAGTAAATGATGAAAAATAAATGCCGAAAACATGATAAAAACAATTTTATCGTCAAAATCTTTGTGTTAATAGGGAAAGGAAAGATCAAAAGAGTTTTTAATGTAAAAATTAAGTTTTTTTTGTCTTCTTTAGAAGCTTGAAACTTTTGGTTAAAAAAACTTTTTTTTTTTTTAAATTTATTTATTTATTTATTTTCCGTCAACGCGGGACATAAAATTTGTACGGGAAATTTGAGCGTCTTTTTGCGGTGGAAAGCATTGATTTGAAAATTCTTGCAAAAATCAGAAAATTGTCAGATTTTAATGAAACTTTCAGGATTTATTTACAAATGAATGAAATCTATCCCCTCTTACTCATCTAATTTTTTATGAGGTTTTGAGACGTTTTTTTTTTGTATCGCTTAATGTTTAGATTTATTATAAGGGCAAAAACTCTCGGAGAATTTAGATCATCACTTTTTTTTTTTTTTTTTTTTTTTTAAACAATAACCATACTTTCAGAAAATCTGCTCTGAAGTGTAAAATAAAAAAAACAAAACGCAATAAAACTAAAATATTTTTAATTAGATAAGCTTTTAATTGATTTTATAAATAAAATAATTGATATTTAAGATTAAACGTTCGATGAATAATGAATTTTTATAACAACGAAGTTTTTTTTTTTTTTTTTTTTTATAATTTTTAAATCTCTTAAAATTCTGTACTAATTTGTAGCGGCCAAGTGTTATTTTTATTAAATTACAACCGTATGTACTAATCATAAATAGAGAAACACACTACAATTCAACTACTGCAGTATTTTAAAATGAATTTTGATTTTTTTTTTTTGTGAATCGTGTCGATTTCTGTAAAGATGAACGTCCATACACATTAAAAAATATAACTGGGGAACTATAATAAATTTTAAATTTATTGATAATTCAGAGTCTGTCTATATTTCTGAGATGAGGTATTATGTACATTATTTACATTATTCGGACTATTGTCCTTATCTTTGTCACCATATTTATCACAACGTTTCGGCCGTTGTACGCTCCGGCCTTCTTCAGGTGGTTGGAATGTCGAACTGAACCCTTTATTTCGCTCACCGGGGTAGACTGTTCTATTTCCACGTGCCATGTTTGATGGATGTCAGTTATCAGTTATCTCCTGTTAATTTCCCTCTGAAAGTTCTCCACTGCCTTAACAGTGACAGGACCCAAAGAGTGTGAGTTCAATACCCGGTTACGGCAAATATATTCAATATGTGACCGTAGCATTGTTAGAAAATACGCTTGGGAAAGGTATAAATCTGTTTCTTCCCTCCGCCGCCAGCTATGGGTAAATAGCAAGACAGACCGGGTTCTATAGCCTTGGATGGCAACTGGTCTACCACAGAAAGAAATGGCAACCTACTGCGAGAAAAATCTGCCTCGTCAGTTATGTATCGAAAGATACATGGTCACGTAAATGTGTATCACATATGGCACATAACTGACTGATACGCAAATACCCTTGAGAAAGGTATGAATTCACTTTAGCTATGGGTTAATTAGTAAAAGAAGGAAAAATGTAATTTAGGGCAAACACTGAATTTTTGTGTATCATCACATAGCTGATTGAAATTCACTTACGTGCTAATATCCTTGGGAAAGGTATGAATCCTCTTCGTCTTCGCCAGCTATGGATAAATAGCAGAACAGACCGGGTTCTATAGCCTTAGATGGCAACTCATCTTCCGCAGAAAGAAATGGCAACCTACTGCGGGAAAAAAAATCTGCCTCAAAAGATACATGATCACCTAAGCGTTTGGAGACTCGGCCAGTGCTTTGTGACCGTCGCTAGTATAAGCAACATTTGCTTTTTTCTACCTACATTTATATACCTTACAAATTAAACTAAGCATAACTGATAATGAAAACTGACTATTAAAGGATGAACATTTTTAGTGCATTTTGGGAGGGCCGCCCAAATCGGTGACATTGTTTTGCTCATGCTAAGTCTCGAAAAAAAAAAAAAAAAAAAAACACTATATAAAATTCAATATTATTTTATCCATAATGTTGAATAAATAATTCAACTTTGTAACAAGAAAAATCTTAAGTTGAGTTAAAGATTGCTTCACAAAATGGTTGATTTATTTATGGAATGATCTCTACTATGACATGTTTCTAATTTTTATTTAGATACATTGTACAGGGTAACCCGGATATAAGATAGTTGTCGGGACCGGAGAAGAAGTCTCTTATATCCGGGTTGGGTCTAATTTATATACATTAACTTAACACAGGCTCTAATATGGGACCAGAGAAAATCTCTCTTATATCCGGGTTTCTCTTATATCCGGGTTGGGTCTAATTTATATACATTAACACAGGCTCTAATATGGGACCAGAGAAAATCTCTCTTATATCCGGGTTAAACTGTATTTATTTTCAATTTTTCTAGTTGAAATGTTCACCTATATTACATATGATCCATTATTGTACATAATTAGGTTACAATACCATTTGTATTTTGTATTTTCTATGAATACTACCTCATGAAAATTGATATGAATGGGAGGTCCCGTATCATAAATTCGGGAGTGGCACCGGCCCTGAACTTATTATCAATTTATCTTCGAATATATATATATATATATATATATATATATATACATACATATTCAAAATTAAATTAACAGCAGGAAAAATGTTTATTATTTTTAGTTGCTTATTTGCGTTCTCTAAACAGCGCACAATAAACTTTATGGAAAGATTAAATTCTTTCTCTAGAGTCGTTCAAGTTCAGTTGAAGTTCACTTTCACAGCGTCAAGGGTTGGCGACCCAATAACAGCGAGGAACTTCTTTTTTTTTTTTAAAGAAATAATTTGATACATTTGGCAGTAGTGGGTTAAATTAATAATAAAAAAGAAGATAAAATGCTTGTTGTCAGAAAAATCTTGAAAAGTAAAAAAAAAAAAAAAATGGTTACCTTTGACAATTTTAAGGGTCTTTAAATGCCTCACCACAGTAGGTGGAGACGTTGTGTCTGGGGAGAAAAGCCAGATATTCTCGTCTTAAAAATAAACACTTCACGGTTTATTCCCGATAAAAGGAAGGCAGAGAAAAAAGACAAAATGTGGGACAATATTCTCTGTCTATCCTCTAATACATGTTTTAATACCAATTATGGAAAACAGAGAAAATACGCATGTTTCTGTGCCTCAGTGCGTGCGTGTGTATCGGGGAAGGTTTCTTTTAAGCGCATATATTTGTAGATATATTGTCGTTAGGAAAATAATATCTCATTTTTAGATGTTACAAATAAATGAATATTGTTTTTTTTTTTACAATAATAATCACCATGTACAAGGCCCAAGAGCCACTCGAGATAGACGGTTACAATGTAGGAAGCAGAGTTTGTGAGGATAAACGGGGAAGATAACAGTTAAAGATAGATTTGAACAGGTTAAGATTATTGTGATCGAGGAAGCATCCTCTTGAGAGTCGGTTCCAGAAAGTATTAGTTTGTAGGAAGAAGCTTTTCGTGAGGAACTTACATCCTACCAATCGAATATGGTGAGATGGATTAATTGCTGTCGATATGACGCAAAAAATGAAAATAAAACTGACATCTCATTTTAACAGATATATTTACCAAAATTACATATTAAAATATATTGTAATACTAAAGATTAAATTTAAATTTATTCAATAAAATCGCCATTGGCTTCAACTACAGCCTCCAGACGACTTCGGAATCTCCTGCAATTCTTCTGCATGTTCTCCTTGTTTGGTGAATGCTACCGTATGCCTTGCCTTCAGTTCATCTTTGGTGTTACAAGGAATTTTGTTGGTCTCTCACTCAACTGCGCTCCACACATAATAATCAAGGGGATTGCAGTCTGATGGGTTAGGTTCTCCTGCTTGTGTGACATGGTGCAGAGTCCTGTTGTCTGATATAGAGTCATCCAGCAGTAACCCTCTTGATCTAGGACAGCACTAACTCCCCAAGGCACTTGATATAGGTTTCCATGTTGAGATTGAGGTTCTGTGGGAATATGAATGGAAACATAACGTCGCCATCACTAGTAATCACTCCAAAATATCTTCGTAATCACCATTAGTCTCATCCAACTCTTTCCGAATCCTCTGCAGTGTCCTCAGATTGACACCCAAATATTCTGAAATGTTCGTATTGGAGCTTCCGGAGCGAATGCCAAACAGTACAGCATGCCGTTTCCAAATTTCTGGCGGAGTGAATTGCTTCATGGTGCTCTTTTGCTCACAGACAGTGCCCAACGGACCCTATAATAATGTGCAGTCGAGAAAAAAAATCAAAAACAAACACGCATGCGCGAAATTAAAAATATAAAATAGCGACAATATATCTATCGCACCATGGAGAGAGTAAGAGTGAGAGAGAAAGAGAGTGAGAAAGAGAGAAAGAAAGTGAGAAGATCAGAGAAAGGGAGAGTGAGAGAAAGGGAGAGAGAAAGAGAGTGAGAAAGGGAGAGAGAAAGAGAGTGAGAAAGGGAGAGAGAAAGAGAGTGAGAAAGGGAGAGAGAAAGAGAGTGAGAAAGGGAGAGAGAAAGAGAGTGAGAAAGGGAGAGAGAAAGAGAGTGAGAAAGGGAGAGAGAAAGGGAGAGAGAAAGAAAAAGAGAATGAGAGAGAAAGAAAAAGAGAAAAAGAAAAAGAGAATGAGAGAGAAAGAAAAAGAGAGAAAGAGAAAGATTTTAAGAGTATCCCGTATTTTTAATTTTCTTACCTAGCAGCCCTATCTATGG